TATGCTATGACCCAACATATCTATGGACTGGACTGTTGGGCCTCACGCAGCACGACGGAATGTACTCGCACGACGAAAAAAGGGAACTAACTGATCCCTTCCGATTCATACCTTGGTTAGTAACTGCATGTCAAAAAAAAAGAACAGATTGATCCCTTCCTATTCCATCACGCACGCATTTAACACAACGATTCCCAATTTCTCAGCGGCCGCCAAGGCTTCATCTCTTCGTGACTGCGAGTTCGGCGCTCCTTTTCCATTTTCTTCTAATAAATTGAATTTTCCTCCCCAATTCAGATCGACCGCCAATTTCAATTCCCTGGGGCCATCGGAACCCAGGCTTTGCTCTTCGTCCATCAACGATTCGACCATCCGAGGTATATCTTCTATTCATATTAAGGTTCCTAGTCTCCTAGCTAGATGAATGGCCGGCACATCGTTACTGTTCAACAGTTGTCCATTGATGCAGTTTTATTTATTTACAGCATTGTGTCTTGTCATCTGTAAGAAAGTATCCATCCGGTAGTAATGAAAGGAGAAGGAAGAAAGCTGTGGATGATTTAGTTCAATCACGGTGCGGAAATATTCATAATTGTTTCTAAGAGAGTTGGCGATAGTTGTCATAAAGGAAGGGCAACCAACTAATGGCAATTCAGAATTTGATCAGTCAGAAGAAAATGTCGACACCAACATCAATGATAACAACGTTAGTGGCTCTAAGCATGTGTATGTAATTCACCAGATGCACATGCACAATCCGCTAGTGATGATGATGAACAACCAGTTTATATTAATGGTATTTATGAAAAAAAATTGGGATAATCTTGATAATAAAGCAAGAGACATCTTAGTTGAGAAAGGGTATATGAGAGACGACAAAAAATGGCATACCGACGATGCAGGAAGATGTTTTTCATATGCCCATTATCATAGGATATTAAGCAATGGGGAGGAATGATACAAAATGACTAGTTTATTCAAAAGATGTTGACAAAGTTTTTTTGCTTCTGATGTAAGATCTTCAAGTCTAGCATTAGCAGAGGTTTATTCAAAAGATGTCGTCAATGTTTTTGGCTTCTACTCTAAGATCTTCAATTCTACCACTAGCAAGAATCAGAGATCCTTAGCACATGATAGATTAGGATTTTTTGGGGTAATATGTATGAATTACTTGATATATATACTGATTTTGGAAACATTTAAGTGTTATTGGTAATATTTCATATATATGCATATTATTTTTTATTGTTATGACGACTACATTTAGGGCCTCGGGTTTTAGTCTCGCCCCGGGCCCCCGAAATCTCAGGACCGGCCCTGACCCTAATCGCCGACATTTCCCATCTCTCATCCTTGGGCAGGTTGCAATGCTCTGGGCGAAAGTCTCTCGGGTTCTTGCCAGCCGAGCGTCCGTGGGTGCTGTCTCACCTCCTTGGAGGCGCCCGTCATGGAGGCTTGAACCTCTCCCATCCTCGGATCATTTTCTTTGGGTGAAATCGTCAAGCCTAGTGTTGGGTTTGGCGATGGCATCGACATTGTCGCTCCTGCCTTTGGTATGTCATCTTAAGACCATCAATCTTGGTCGCACTTCCGGGGGCTGGACGCTCATGACATTGGGGAAGGGCAGGTATCAATCCAACGATGTGGGGATGCTAGGTCTATTTAGCGTGCTCTCCTGTTTGGCAATGATGGCGGCTTCATGCAGAGCTGGGTCGCGGCCGTGTTTTTTTTAGTCGGTGTCTCTCGGCGTGTTCGAGGGGTCTCCGTGCCTTGTCTTTGTAGTTTTGGAGTTGCGGAGCAGGGTCTCGACAAGGTTTGACTGCGGTGGCTTGTGCGGCCCAAGCTCTCCCCTTCTCTTCAGCATGGTTCGTCACTTGAATCAGAGTTGTCTGGTCTCCAGCGAGGGTGGTTGTCTATTTGGCATGTGCCGACATGACCTCCGACATCTGTTGCGGCGAGGGCTTCATTGGTGGAAGTCGACGATGAATTTGATATTGCTGGCTCGTGGAGGGGTGACGACGATGACGCCTTGTGTCAACCTCGACAACGTTTTCTTCTCGGCGGCATGTAGGTCTTCGCTTGGGTGGCCAGGTTGAGCGGTGTTACCTTGTGTGGGTTATGTGACGGTTTTAGTCCGATTTTCATATATTAACCTGAAAAGTATTTTCTCTTTTTAATGATTCAAGATTCTTACTTTAAAAATCCAGTACAACCATAGCTTTCGACAAACAGCTTCGCAACAAGATGACCATGATCAGCAGCTAAGTTTGATATTGTACTTTTTCTGTCAATTTTCTATTATGAGGATAAGAGGCTCCCATTCTCCCATGGAACTCCCTCCCTATGAACTTCTAAATAACACTACTTACAACTTCTAAAGAAAACTATCAACCTGAATATACGATACCTTACTGAAGCATCTACAACAGGACTCGGTAAATCTGGGCCTCTATACGCCCACTGGCTCGCGGATGGCGCCGGACAACCCCTCATATATCGTGTCCGGCAGCCATGTACCTCAAATTTGAACTTTCAAATTCATGCAAATCCATGCACGTCCATCATACAAGTGAATGTCACACTTAAATAACAAATGTTGGTACCGAAAATACATAGTTCAAGCATAAAATTTATCTTATTTTCATCGTAGGACCACATATGCTCCACAAGATCACCGAGTAGCTATGCGTGCACCTGATTATCTCGAAGATTCTGATGCATCTACAGAAAATTCACAACTGATCTACATCTTGTTGCTCCGGAATGTGGACTTGTTCTCCCGACATCTCAAAATCATTGGTTTCGGCCACCCCGTCATCATCGCCCTTGGCAATCATATTATGCAAAATGACACAACATGTCATAAGCCGCCACAAAGTCTACAATTCCCATGTCATTCCTAGCTGCCTCTTGCATTGCTGCAAATTGGCTTTGTTTGTTGCCTTGGGGGTTCGGATATAGTCTTCACAAATGTCGCGCACTGAAGATAGATACCATCGGCAAGATAGTATCCTATGTTGTAGTCACGAACGTTGATAGTGTAGTTCCACGGCGGCGATTCCCATTACAAAGCCTCCTGAACACGACAGATCGTTGAAGCACATTGATGTTCTCCGCGGGGGCGTCCGGGCCGGTGACAATGTCCGCGGTGGCGAGAACGGATGGGCGGACTGTTGGGGTGGTGCAGGCGGCGCTGAGGGTTCACTACAACGGCGGAGCAAGGGTGGCGACAGAAGTAGGGATGGCCGGTGCAAAGGAGGAAAAATAGAGGAGAGGAAAACTAGAATCAGTGGTGATGG